ACACACACACACACACACACACACACACACACACACACACACACACACACACACACACACACACACACACACGAATGCACACACAAGACTGCGGCGTCACGAGTAAGACGCTGAATTCCTGTTTGCAGTCGACGGCTCCCAAGCGTTCGCGCGCAGAGTATGCGAAGATGGCTTCGCGGGAACACTCCTGGAGCTAATGATCTCCACGCCTGCAGTGTCGCGAATGGTAATTCCTTCACGCTCTTCTAACCCTTAATAAAAACATACTTATATATATATCTGAGGGTGCATTGAACACGCATTGCACGAATTGGCACATGCGATTTGAAAATAATATTCGTCAGCTGAACACCGTGTTGTTTTTGGTGTGTTGCGTTTTACTATCTGAAATTTCAAATTACATTCTTTATACATTCTGCTGTAGCAAAAGAGTTATTGTATTTACTCGTGTAAGAGTCACACTTCTTTGTACGCAACTTCAATAAAAAAATCATGGGGTGGGACTTATACGCGAGGCTAAGAAATCTTGTTAATGTACCAATGTTTTTACCAACTTTTAAAGGCAGTGTATGGGGTGCGACTTATACACGAATGCGACTTATATGCGAGTAAATAGTGTACATGACTACTACCTCGTGATGTACTGTATACGCTGTATATTTCGCGGTGGTTTAATTTTCGCGAATTTCGCGAACGCGTCCCCGACCGCGAAAATAACAACACGCGAATAATTCATACCGAATAATACCGAATAGTTCATAATTCAGCGACCGCGAAATTAACCACTCACGAAATTATCCGTCAAGTCTGAGTTCACGAAAATATCTGTACGTGAAAAATATGGCTTATACAGTATACACGAATGTGACTTATATACGAGTAAATAGTGTGCATGATGACTATATAGTACATTATGACACATAGTGAACTATCTCGGGCCATAATAAAAATATTGTTTGTTTGCCCTCACCCGATCGACCCGCCAAAAAGAGGCCAACTCAAAAAAATTTATTGATCTTTCCTATTCTTTTTTTTTTTTTTACAAATTGTATCACTGTACATTATATAAATCTGTAGGCAATACATTATATGTACCAAGCAAAACAAACATTCAACATAAAAGCAAGAAAGGTATCTCCACACAAGCACACCCGAGCATGTAGACACCATGCTGAATTTGTAAAAAGACCCCCCTCGAAAAAAAAAAAAAGAAGCCTACTTACCTACCCAAACTTTTCAGCTTGGGTCAGGTGAGGGCAAACAATTTTTTAATTGTGACCTCGTGATGTAATTATTGACGTCTGACAGGTGGTGGCGTGCGCCGTCAACGTGCTCATACATGACGGGGAGGCGGCGCCGCAGATGCTGCCACTGGTGGCGCCGGTGTTGCAGCTGCTGGACCGCAGAGCAGACGAGAAGCTGGCGTCGGTCGCGCTAACCTTCGTCGAGGTCATGCTCGGCATGTCAGAGGTCGTCGATAGCGTGAGTGCACATATATATATATATAATATCAAGAGCAGATAAAGAAGGAGAGCGTACAACGGTAAAATGCTAAAACCATGCTGCAGTATTAGTCAAATTAATAAACTTTTCCCGTTTTATTCTGACGATCCTTTGCAGTATTATTGATTAGCTGTCTTACCTTGTTCATATAA